AGATAGGATCCAGACTCACAGCCAGGCACAGAAGAAAAGGGGTATTTGCTGTGTTCATTACACACAAGCCCAACATCCTTGGGGAAGCCAGATGTATTTCCAAAATGCTGCTGAAGTATACGAGCAAGGAATTAAAGGGTATCAAGTTATGGGTCTCCATCTGTGCACAGGCACAAGCCCTGTCATGCTGGCTCCTGCTCTCACCATCTCTGCTTCGACCAGCAACAATGCTGCCAACTCCAACTAAATTTGACTGGAACACAAGGGAAGGCTCTGACCACACCAGTGGGGTCAGCATACAACCCCAAGGGGTCTCCACGGGCTGTATGTAAGTATGGGATGGGGCAAGAAGACAACAGACACGTAGGACTCCACTCATGAGGAGCCCAACAGCAAAAACGCCATTTCACATCACTGCCCTTCAGGTACAGCTGCCAGAAAGGACTTAAGACCTTACAGAATTGTCCTGGGCTCCTGCCACAGTGTGGCACCTGCCTCCAGTGTGTGACCCTGGTGCACAGCAATGAATGCTGGAGGGAGCAGTTTTGCTTCTCCACCGTACAAGAGAAAGGAAAAAGCCTTTTCATCTGTGGATAAGAAGAAACCACTCCTCAAGACAATCACACCCTGCTTCTCCTCCAAATCCCAGCCAGGAGCTTTGCAGCCTGCTGGTCAGGGGGAAAGGGGATTAACAAGCATGAGAGGGCTTCCAGACACCCCCATGGCTGCAGAGAAAGGCCCAGTCTTGTTGGCAATGCTTCTGGAGGATCTTGGTGCCATGAGGACACATTTGTTGTTCCTTTTCATTCAGATGCCAGGAAGGTTCCTTAACGTGAGCTAAGTCAACAACCTTGCAGGGCATTCCTTCCCCAGCCAAGCTGGCATGTTCGGGGTTCAGAATCACACCCTTAGACAGTGCTAGCTAGGATCTCCCAAAATGCTTCCTCTTACATCACTGGAAGTACCAAGAGTGAAGGTGCCTCCCACCTGATTCCCTTCAGCAGAGTGCAGAGCCCTTCTGAGGGGCAAAGGGGCTGCTTGCTGGGTCCAGAAACACCTGGGAAAGGCAGCTTTCCCAGAGAAACCAGACACGGGATGACCTGTAATCAAAGAGGTCTGAGACAATGCTGAGGGTAGAAGAAAATAATTCAAGTAACACATGGGAACTGCCCTTTGTAGAGGTGAACTGCACCCACATCTTCAAGATTGTGGCTTTTTCTTCAATTTTTGCCGCTTCTGGGTATCAGAATGAGCAGGCATACACACACACATATTCACACACTAGGCTATATCCTCACTTTAACCTCTGACTGGCCAGAAAATCATCCTTTATCCAGTCAGGTGAAGAAATGACAGAGTAACTGTTCCCTGCATAACATTACCACCTCTCTTGGGTCAGTTTGTTCCAGCATCTTTATACCCTCCAGAATTGCCATGCTACATCGCATCCAGAAATGAAGCCACTGACCCTAATAAAAAGCACATAAGCCTTTGTGCTGAGCAATACAGGATGCTCCTCCCTTGCTCTGTTTCTCTGCCATCAGCCTCCAGTCCCCAGATGTAGTCATCCATTAGCAATCCTCCCCAGCACATGCCTAACACATCAGAGGTTTTTTATTTTAAACAAATGTCCCACAGAACGGAGGAAGGAAAGACGTGCAAAGAGCTTCTTGTGTTTAGGTGGAGCAAGGGGAAAGGTACCCCTTGCAGATGTGATGATGACGAGCAGCCAAAACCAGGCATCTGGTTTGCAGACAGACAGACCCAGTGCAGACTCTAAAGTGACACTACTTGCAGTAGAAAGGGAGGTCAACACAGATTTTACCACTGTGTCACCTTTTGGCAACAAATTACCTTTATCCTCGATGCCTTCATTAATGAAGGGTATAGAGCAGGAAGCAGGGCACCCACCTCCACCAGATCCATGCCAGCAGAGAGCTATTTTGCACACAGTCCTCTACTGATGACATCAAGCTGTCTCAGGTGGCCTAATAGAGCCTGGACACAGGCAAAGCTTTATTTAAGCCCAGACTCCCACTATGACAAAGAACATTTTGGACGCATCTTGGGCTTCCACCTCAGGTAGCTGTTGTGCATCCAGCAGTCAATCCATCTGTGGAACCTATGTCCTTGCAAAAGGTGGAGACAACTGGTCTATCTAAAGCTTCCACTCCTGGGGGAAGGTGAACATTTATATCCCTCTCACCTCCCAGGGGTGGGGAAAGGGAAGAAACTTTCTGTCATGTCTGATGCTGAAAAATGAAAAGAGATCAGGAAGAAGACAAGCAGCTCCTGCCTGATTCCAGCCTCCCTCACTCCTCTAGCCAGAGCAAGAGCAGTTCCTCTTTCAGGAGATGAAACCACTGAAAGAAATTAAGGTGATGGATTTTTTAAAAAGGATCAGAAGAGGGGAGAAAGAGAGGAAGTACTGGAATGAAAAGCAGGAAGACAGAGGCAATTTACAAAGCCACATATAGGGAACCTCACTGCTGGAGTATGTGATTGTGCTGGAAAGCGTCACACAAATCTGCTGGGAGATGTCCATGCTGTAATTCAGATAAGAAACTGAACATTTGTTTTTTATTTGAACTGATCCTGAACTTCACAGCCTTTGAGATCCTGCCAATCTCTCTCTCTCTAGTTGTACGCGTGTTTTTCCAGCGTGCAAGATGATTTTGCTTTATGCGTTTGCAATGACAGGTTGTGAATCAACATCATGGAATGATGCAGTATCACAGGGGACTAGGGGAACATTTGGGTTTAGGTCTCTGTATCTTAGAGACTAAAGAAGACTGATAAGAAAAGCCTAGAAATTGAACCAGTTTCAGGGTTCTACTTACTAAGCCATTCCTATAAAAGTCAGAAAACGTATCAAGCTAACTGCACTTAAAATCCTCCAGTTGTCATCTGTCACACAGCTTATTTGAAAAACCATCCCCTGCAAAGTTGTTGTATTTTTCCCTCCTCCCAGTGTTTGCTTTTATGGAATTGATGCTTGTTGAAGAGTTGATAGTTGGAAACTCTCCTTCCATAATGGGAAGACATGAAAAGTTGGCACTTGGCTTAGTGGAGATGAGAAGCGCTGAGGGTCTGCACTGAATACAAACAAAAAATTACACACTGCAACATTTCAAATTAACATCCTGCTACCTCACATTATGCTTCAGAACGGCTCAGTCCTTCCTTTGATCTCAGGATTACAAGCAGCTAGGGCTTCATTTGCAGCTACGCAAAGAACCTGCTGCACTATACTGGCAGTAGGCACAAACCTTAAAATAAAGCCCAAACTATGTGGACACCCATTTGCAGACCTCTGGCAATGCAGTAGAATGAGACTGTCCCTTTGGGACATCAGTAGGGGCATCAGGCCCCTGCAGTCAAATTAAGGGCACACCACAAAGTCTGGCCTCTCTCAAATCCAGCCTTTGTCTCGGGAATGGTTTCTGTTTTCTTTCCCACCTGACTAATCCCAGGCTGTGCTCTTCAGGCTCACTCCCACTTGCAAGACAAGTAGGACACCAGCAACCACTCCTGGTTTTTATTGAAATAATTGTTGACGGTAACTTCATACTAAGTGCTGATTTGTTCCTCATATTTAATGAATTCTTCTGCAGCATAATACAACTCTCCCCAACTTCAAATGACTTTGAAACTCCTGGGAAATTGTCTGAAATGTCTATCTGATGGCATTATATGCATATATATACACATATACAGACATTGACGAAATACAACTTTAAGAACAGTATATTTTTTTTTTTAATCTACAGATATTTAACTCTAACTTAAATTTTAAGACAGGGGACATAGAGTAGAAATATTATTGTCTTCTTTGCAATCCTACCTAAATATTGGAAGCAGTATTAAATTAATTGGTGCCTTTTCAAAACCAAGCGCTAGGTTTTCAGAAAGCGCGTAGTGCGTCTAAGTCCTGACATTTCAGTGGGGACACAGAACGCTGCACTTCTGGAAATGAGGGCCAAGATGGTCACACCAAAGAGAAGAAATTACAGCCAGGATTTGAAATCTGAAACACTCAACATTTTGCTTTTGAAATTCAGCATCTTTCTTCAATTAAATATTGAATAGCTGTGACTATAAAAAGCCTATGCAGACCTCCAAGTAAAGTATTACACTCTCTGGTGAAAGAGCATGTCAAGGCCAGTCCACAGAAGGCGGCTGCTCTGATGCAAGTTGTCACAGTTAATTGCGTAGATCACCCCTCTGCTTTCTGTGTTGCAGGATGGAATGCACCTACTGCTGCACAGAGGCAGACTGCCGAAATTTGGGTTTTATGTACAAATTTGTGAAACAATAGCAGTTAAGTTCTGCTTTGGCAGATTCAGTATGCCTTTTCATATGAAAATCAAAACCAAGTATGTTCTTGACCATAGAACAGTGCTAGATCATGCTTTAATACAGGTACATAATAATAATAAGGCAAAACAGACAGTAAAACCAAACCTGGCAATAAATACTTTAAGACTTCATTAGAAAAGCAAAAGGTATCACCCAATACACTAAAAAGCCAAATTATCTAGGCTGACATTTACAACCAATTTGAACCGACATGAGCATGAAAAATACAATTTTAATTCAAGAGGTGGCCTTACCTATAAGTTTAAGTGTGCCCTTTAAGCATTAATGCTGAAAGCAAAGCCCTGAAAAACGCCTGCAGCCCTGCCAATTGCATTTTGGTATTTTACAGCACAGCAACATGAAGCAGACAATTAGCAGAAGATTTCAGAGAGGAGAAAAAACGAACCACTGTATGTGCTCTGGCGAGCAGATCAGAGGCTCAGTCCAGCCGTGAGAGGCACCCATTACCCCGCAGCCGGCTTACCCACACACGGGAGCAAACACCAGGAGCCGATTTTGCAAGGCGCGCAGCGACGAGCCCAAACATCCGTGCACCTCTCCAGGCAATAAGAGAGCCTGCCTGCTGGCTGTCGCTAGGAAAGAGAGGCACGTTTTGCACAAAGCAGCCTTTGTGGACTTACTTTAACTGTCGCGGTTCGCAGTCAACTCCCGGCAGCAAGAGCCTCGCCGCCTGCCGCACGTCATCGCTGTCCACCGAGAAACTGCGGCGGTGCCCTGCGTGAGCCACAGCCACCCGGATCCACTCCATCAGGGGAGGCAGCACAATGAACGGCCTGCGAAGGCACACAGACATGAATGCTACAGTACACTGGCATCAACATCACAGGTACACGGAGACAGAGGGCAAGGTGGGGAGGGGGGCGGTGGTGCATGTGTATGTGTATGTGAGAATATGTATTTTACAGAGAGAGAAGGAAACGTGCAAAACGAAAGCATGGGAGAGCAAACTGGCTCAGCAAATTTCAAGCAGGTCTGAATCAAGATGTCTCGCCCTGTCTCCAGAGGAGGGCTATTTGAAGAGCGAGATTTACAAGCCACACTAATTTATGGGGCTCCTGTGAGGTCAGTGCACCCGCCCGACAAGCCCTCCCTCCCCCCGCCCTTCTTCACATAGTGTATCCTGAAAAGAGGACAGGAGCCTGGCACAGGACCACGTCCTGCTCTGGCTGACGCAGCAGGCTGGTACGCTCCCCTGCCACTTCGCAAGGGGGTCAGGAGAATGAACCAGGGCAAAGAGAGGGCATGCCCCCAGCCGGGATGCCAGGGGTGGAGAGGTGATGCACGAGGAAGTCACCAGCGTCTCCTGCCAGAGGCGTGCCGTCTGCTCAGTGCTGACAGTGGGGAACTCTGCAGCTGCCCCCGCTGTACCGTGGGGGTTATCGGTGAGCAGCATCACGAATAGGACTGTTTCCTTTCCCTTTCAGCAGTAGCAAACTGCAACACCTTTGGGTACCAGCTGTTCTGGCACCTGAGCAAAAACACACAAAACCGCCCCAAAAAGTGGATGGTGGGACTCTGGGCCACAGCTCCCACGTGAGCAAAGCACAGACATTGTCAGAAACATGGTCCTTTACTCCATAAGACTTGGGCAACCCTATGTCCTAGCAAGAGCTGCCCCAATTTGTCCCATCTATGCTAACAATTATTTGGGGACCAAGAGAAAAACACCAAAACTTAAATGAGAACCACAGCTTCAAGTCCTAGTTTGGAGTTAAAAAATAAATAGATCTGCAGCTAAAAATCTTGGAAGGTTACTGCCTTTTATGTCAAGGGGGACAAAATCCCCAGAGCAACACAGGCTGCAGCAACTGCCCTCCCATCCCCAGCAGGTTTTTGTGCCCACTTCATCACCTAGCTGGGGTGTCCATAATGGATGTCTCCTCTGTGGCTGTACAGAGGAGACAAAGTCTGTGTGGGGAAATGATGAGGGAGGGTAGAAGAAATCCCTCTTTATAAAAAAAAAAACACAACAAAATTCTAAAAACTGTAAAATCATTAAAAAATAACAACTCTGTCCAAGAGCTACTTGAAAACTGTGCTGAAACCATGTTGAAAGTCCTGTATTTAGTCAGGACTGCTGAAAACTATTTACAGACTGTGAAACTGTTTCATTCACACTATGAAGTAGATATAGCAAAAGGTTGTTAGTAAAGATTGCTATAATATTAAAAAAGGGGGGGAGAGAAGAGATAAAACTTCTAAATGACTACTGTCCTGAAGGAATGTCTGTAATTAACCTGTTCTTACCATCTTCTTCTGAACATTTTATTTTCTCTCATTTCCTATGTGGCTCCCTTTCCCCTCCGATCTTTAACCGTATCTTCCCATATTCCCTCTCTTTATTAGGTCAGTGTATCATCCTAATACTGGAAATCCTCCCTTTTAGTGCAGCATCATCCCCTACTTTTGCTCCCTTCACTTCTCCTGCTCCTTTTTATTTGATATTGCTTTCCTTCACTTGCCTCCCCTTTTGTAGTCCCTTTTCTTCAAGGGGAAAAAAAAAAAAAAGTCTGAATTAGGTCTCCAGTAGGCAAATACTTTACATTTTAAATATCTAGCTTTACCCAAAAAGGATCTACCCTGAGAAAAAATTACTTAAGATGATGTTGATTCTGAAATATCCTTTTCCTATTTATAGATCTTTATGGCATTTATTTCTCTTTTGAAGACTTGACTTTACATAGCTCTGATATTAATATTCTTGAGGAAGGATGAGATATTTCACAAGCGTCAAAGGACAGAGAAGCCCTGAGGCCACTAAGTCTCCCTGGGACACTGGGTTCCCAAATCTCACAGGCACTTAAATGAACAACCTCCTTTTGAAATATGACATCTTTGGCTGACTTGTCACTTTCATCGTTATTCTACTCAAACACATCACAGTCACCTCAAGACCAAGATGCATTTGCTTCCAAGGCTTTTTGCTTTTCCCAGGCCTCCCACAGCTACATAAGGAGGCAGATAAGGACAGATCATCTTCTCCCATAGCTACCATGGAAAGATATCCATTTGTTGTGAAGGTGACAGGGGTCAGAGGTGGGAGAGGGGAGAAACAGGGGTGTATATGCTCCTGGAAGGTGACCTGCTTCCCAGGTCACCCACGACATGTGCCATTGGAGCAGAAGAGACCCTCTCTCATGGCATAAAGTAGATTGGGATAAGTCATCAGTGGGAGTTACTTTCATCACTTGCTGAGCAAACAGCAGAAAGGGAGCTGCAAATCACACTGGAAGTGTAAAAATCCATCTAGTTACCCACAAAACTTGGTGCTAGGAAAGACAGTTAAAGGGAAACTCAATTCTAGGTTGTATTTGCATGAGTGAAAGTGGTCTGGAAAAGAGAAATGAAGACGAGCGTGTACAAAGCCTTCCTATAACATCTGCTGAGCAAATAGAAGAGCAGAGGGCCAAGCCTGAACAAGGTACCTGGGGGTTCATGGCTTCTTCTCCTCCCTCATGCAGATCAGAAATTCACCCAGCAGAAAAACTGCCCCACCACAGTAAGGAGCAGAGCAAATAAAGTTATTTACAGGAACCGTGATAACTGCACTACAAATCTGCATTTTTTTTTCTCTTTTTCCTGGTCTTGCAAACTTCAACAGAGAAATAGAAATGAATGTGGCTATTTGGTGCAAAAAATCCCAAAAGGGAAGAGAATTAGTGTTTGTTGGAAGTAGAGGGATTTCTCTAAAGGCCAAGTGCCATCCATACATGAGGATACAGAGTTCACTCAGAATATATTACATGTCCTCTTCTGAAGAAAAAAAACCACCACATCACTGCATATTTGCACATGTAACGGAATTTGGATTTTGATAAGAGAACCAAATATGGTTGAGCACAATAGGTTAAAAATACCCTTCAGTAGTCTGTGCACGATGTGAAGGGGATTTGTTTGGAGGTTTTTTAAATGCTGTTTGTGTCCTAAGGGAGATAGAACACCACAAAGTTATAGGGAGGTGACAACCCATAAGACAACATAACATCAGCAAGACATATTTCACTTTTCAAATGAAACCATGCAAAGATGAGTTAGGCAAATGCATCTTGTATACTTGTGTATACATCCATTGCTCTCTGCTTTACAAAGGCAGGTAATGACCAGGAGATTTTGGTACTTTAGTGTTATAGAGCAGACATATAGCAGATAAGACACCTAGTTATATACTTTGGAAGCACACACCTTAATTAAATTAATCTAATGACAGCAGGGATGTTCTGGGCTTGACTGCCTGTAGGATGTGGAAAGTCATGACTAGCTCGACTGCTGCAGAAAGACCTTACCAGGGTGTGGGTCAGCAAGTGCTCTGACCTCCTTCAGCCTCTCTCTGTACCTGGGCTTAACTTTAAACACGTGCTCCCATCCTCTTTAATTCATTGCAGTTCAAAGTTAAGGACTTTAATTTATGTCCCAAAAAAAGAATGTTTTTTGGCACAAGCTCATATTTTCCTGAACTGTCATCTCTAAGGGAAAAAACATGTCAGATCAGGACACAGGGAGATGTCTCTGCACACAGCAATCCCCATCCCATGCAAAAGAGCTGGGAGGTGGCTGAGGGATGAAGTGGGCCAAAAATAATGCAGATCCCAAGGGTTTGGACACCCTGGACATGCCCTCCACAGGTCCCTGCTTGAATGGAAAAGGGTATTGTGAGCATCCCACAAACCCTCACATCCCCTCGTTCCTCCCTCCATGCAGCATCCCTCTCCCTGTTCCCTTCTGCTGCCCCATGCCCCTCTCACAGCTGTTTTGGGATAGGCTGGGGACATGCAAGCTCCTGTGCCTTGCAGACATCTTCAGGCAATACCCAGCTGGTACCCCTCCACAAGGGAAGACTGCTCGCTTTCCTCTCCCATCCTGGATATCACAAGTCCTTCTCTGCATCACCCTTAGACGTGGTGATGGTCTCCACTAGCACCTGCCCATGCCTCTACCCACCACCCTCCCAGGAGCAACAACGACTCTGTGCTCAATCGGACATCAAACCTATCTCATTTGTCTGTTTGCAGGATCCTTTAGCTAATCAGGAGGGTCCTGTTCTGATAGGTGTTGAAATTCTTCACTCACTCCAGCCAAGGGTGGTGACTGTAAACCTTTGGGGCAATGACAGTCAAAGCGCTACATACAGGTCACTGCTCTTTAAAATCACAAAAGCAATCAAGTAAAAGCTAATAGACTTTTCCTTCTCAGAAGCACCATCTAGACAAAGGTAGGGAGATGTTTCTGCTTGTAGATATGAGTCAGCAACTTTAACATTATGAAAAAGGTATTTTCATTTATTTGGTTTGTTGTTTGTTTTCATGGGTGGTTTTTAAAGAAAATCCTAATATATGAATTGAAAAGCATCTTTAGTTCTGACAGTTTTCATTTAGAACACATGATGAAACCATATATGCAATGCTAATCCATTTTTAGCATTATTGGAGGATAGAAAAGCATGTTTTTTCTGAAGTCTAGCATACATTTCAGATGAGTTTCTGGACTGCAAAACTCATATTTTATATTTACACCATAAGCTACTTGTCTTCAGAGAGAGCAAATACTTTCTGATGCTTTCAGAAAGCTGCCAGTCCCAACCCTGCTCAGGGACCCAGCGGCGCCAACTGATGCACCACATGAGTCCATGCAGCTATCCCATGCTAGGCAGCTCCTCTGCCACCACAGAAGCCCAGTTCAGGGTGGCTCAAGTAGCCAGCCTCTGAAAAAGCCAATGTGCATTTTGTTCAGACCAAAGGACCAAATCTTGCTCTCACACAAGCCTCAGTAAGAGTCG